TACCTCCCAGTCATACAACATATTGGCACTCCATATATTTTAGGGTGAATTAAGAAAAGACTGACTAATTCAGATAAAGCATTTAATGATATCAATACTTAACTTGTTTTTTCAGTACGATTACTTTCAACTATTTATCATGTTATTTCATAATATCCATCTATTCTTTATTTGAACGAACAAAAAAAGCTGTGGTCACATACAGACAATAGTGATCCTCAGTAGGAAACAAGACCCCAAACTACAAACTTCTTTCACTGGAGTGAATGAACTTCCTAACTGTACTCGGCAGGCTACTCCTTTCAGAAGCTGACCACAGACATGCGTTAACAGAGGCAAATGCCGGTATGCTTTTATTAACACTGCAAAGCAGAAGCCTCCTGTTCTTCCCACCATGGTTTTTCAAGAATAAAAAGCCACTGTAAGAATATATCACTTGCTTGCATCACTAGACTTCCACTGTTTTGGAATTTGAAAGAAACAGTAATTCAACACATACAATAAGATATATATTACACTGTGAAGATATATATTACACGTGAAGGCTTTCTAATCTAATTATCTCTAGTGGTAACTGTACTAGGATGCTGAGCACTGGATTGGCAGAATCCCATCAACAGAACTATCTTTATATGCTCATCCTAAAAAACACAAGGCCTGAAAACCTGCAAACTGAGCCTGCTCACATGGACCAACCTGCAGAACTGGCATTCAAATAAAAGTGATTCTTGCTTATTGTCAGTCATCATCTGCCATGCTATAGTGTTCCCATCTGAAGGCAAAATTAGCTAAAAAGAGACAAAAATAAGTTAAATCAGCTGGATTTTAAAGTGCTTGTAAACCCCAGAGCTTGTCTCTTTTTCTGCACCAACAATTCTATCCAGTCTAATACGAGAAATTACTGCTACACGCTAACCTGCCTTACTTAGGATTGCTCCAACTAGTTAAAGCTGCAATAACGGCACCACAGTAACAGAAACCAAGGGCATACTCCACAGGGCGGAAGCAGAAGTTAAACCCCTACAGGAAAGGCCAGCACGCTGCGACACTCGAGGTGACAGGCCAGGGGGCTCCACGAAGAGCCGGCAGCCCCGCAAGGGAGGGCAGGAGGCGCACGGACAGCAGGCCCGGAGCCTCCCGCAGGCAGCAAGGAGGGGGCACTGCCACATGGTTTCCCGCAGCTCACGTGACGCAACCAGCCAGCCAGCCACCTTCCTCTTCCTCCTCCTCCTCTGCAGCAGACACCTAGCCCGCTCTCCCCTGCCCGCCCCCTTTGCCGGCTACGGGGCCAGAGCGGCAGCCCCCTTAGGCGTAACGGCGAGGACGGGCAACGAGGCTGCTGAGGGAGACCTCTCCCGTTCCCGTTGCCCCGGGAAAGGGCCCTCATGCCTCGGAGG